TCTTGTACCAGCTGTCAGTGTTCACATTCTCACCATCTCGTACCAGCTGTCAGTGTTCACATTCTTACCATCTCGTACCAGCTGTCAGTGTTCACATTCACATTCTACCATCTTTTACCAGCTGTCATTGTTCACATCCCACCTTCCTGTACTAGTTGTCAGTGTTCTTGATTGCTCTCTTGTACCAGCTGTCAGTGTTTACACCTTACCATCTTGTGCTGTTGTGTGGTTGGGTTTTCCAACACTGACCTTCACACATCTGACTATACATATCTCTAAACAAACAATGTCTGTCACTGGGTCAACCCTATCACATGACTGCGATGTTTCACCAGCTGTTGTTATGCCTACACCTACTGACACTGACACGTTTACACCTACTGACACTGACATGTTGTGCACCTACTAACACTGACATGCTGTACATCTACTGACATTGACATGCTGTACATCTACTGACACTGACATGTTGTACACCTACTGACACTAATGTATTCACCTACTGACACTGACATGTTGTACACCTACTGACACTGACATACTGTACACCTACTGACACTGACATGTTCTACACCTATTAACACTGACATTCTGTACACCTACTGACACTGACATGCTGTACACCTACTGACATTGACATGATGTACATCTACTGACACTGACATGTTGTACACCTACTGACACTAATGTATTGTACACCTACTGATACTGACATGTTGTACACCTACTGACACTGACATACTGTACACCTACTGACACTGACATGTTCTACACCTATTAACACTGACATGTTGTACACCTGTTGGCACTGACATGTTGTACACCTATTGGCACTAACATGCTATAACCTATTCACACTGACATGTTGTACACCTACTGACACTGACATGACGTACACCTGTTGACACTGACATGTTGTACACCTATTGGCACTGACATGTTGTACACCTATTGGCACTGACATGCTGTACACTTATTGACACTGACATGTTGTACACCTATTAACACTGACATGCTGTACACCTGCTGACATGCTGTACACCTACTGACACTGACACGTTTTACACCTACTGACACTGACATGCTGTACACCTACTGACACTGACACGCTGAACACCTACTGACACTGACATGTTCTACACCTACTGACACTTACATGTTGTACACCTATTTGCACTGACATGCTGTACACCTACTGACACTGACATACTGCATATCTGCTGACACTGACATGTTGTACACATACTGACACTGACGTGGTGTACACCTATTGGAACTGACATGTACATGTTGTACACCTACTAACACTGACATGTTTTACACCTACTGACACTGACATGCTGAAAACCTACTGACACTGACATGTTTTACACCTACTGACACTGACATGGTGTATACCTACTGACACTGACGTGGTGTACACCTACTGACACTGATGTGATTTACACCTACTGATACTGACGTGGTGTACAGCTATTGACACTGACATGTTGTACACCTATTAACACTGATATACTGTACATCTACAGACATGCTGTATACCTATCGAAACTGACATGTTGTACACCTATTGGCACTGACATGTTGTACACCTATTGACACTGACATGTTGTACACTTATTGACACTGACATGCTGTACACCTGCTGACATGCTGAACACCTACTGACACTGACATGTTCTACACCTACTGACACTTACATGTTGTACACCTATTTGCACTGACATGCTGTACACCTACTGACACTGACATACTGCATATCTGCTGACACTTACATGTTGTACACATACTGACACTGACGTGGTGTACACCTATTGGAACTGACATGTACATGTTGTACACCTACTAACACTGACATGTTTTACACCTACTGACACTGACATGCTGAAAACCTACTGACACTGACATGTTTTACACCTACTGACACTGACATGGTGTATACCTACTGACACTGACGTGGTGTACACCTACTGACACTGATGTGATTTACACCTACTGATACTGACGTGGTGTACAGCTATTGACACTGACATGTTGTACACCTATTAACACTGATATACTGTACATCTACAGACATGCTGTATACCTATCGAAACTGACATGTTGTACACCTATTGGCACTGACATGTTGTACACCTATTGACACTGACATTTTGTACACCTATTGACACTGACATGCTGTACACCTATTGACACTGACATACTGCATACCTACTGACACCAACATGCTGTACACCTACTGACACTGATATGTTCTACACCTACTGACACTGACGTCGTGCACACCACGTCAGTGCCAGTAGGTATAGAACATATCAGTGTCAGTAGGTGTACACCTACTGACACTGACCTGGTGTATGCTTATTGATACTGACATGCTGTACACCTACTGACACTGACATGGTGTACACCTACTGACACTGACGTGGTGTACACCTACTGACACTGACATGTTCTACACCTACTGACACGGACGTGGTGTACACCTACTGACACTGATGTGGTGTACGCTTACTGATACTGACATGTTGTACACCTACTGACACTGACATGGTGTACATCTACTGACACTGACGTAGTGTACACCTACTGACACTGACGTGGTGTACACCTACTGACACTGACATAGTGTACACCTACTGACACTGACGTGGTGTACACCTACTGACACTGACATAGTGTACACCTACTGACACTGACATAGTGTACACCTACTGACACTGACATAGTGTACACCTACTGACACTGACATAGTGTACACCTACTGACACTGACGTGGTGTACACCTACTGATACTGACATGGTGTACACCTACTGATACTGACATAGTGTACACCTACTGACACTGACATAGTGTACACCTACTGACACTGACGTGGTGTACACCTACTGACACTGACATAGTGTACACCTACTGACACTGATGTGGTATACACCTACTGACACTGACATGGTGTACACCTACTGACACTGATGTGGTGTACACCTACTGACACTGATGTGGTGTACACCTACTGACACTGATGTGGTGTACACCTACTGACACTGATGTGGTGTACACCTACTGACACTGACGTGGTGTACACCTACTGATACTGACATGGTGTACACCTACTGACACTGACATAGTGTACACCTACTGACACTGACATAGTGTACACCTACTGATACTGACATAGTGTACACCACACCTACTGATACTGACATGGTGTACACCTACTGATACTGACGTGGTGTACACCTACTGACACCGAACAGCTAAAACTACAGCCACCTGGCCACACGTAAGTTATTCTCACAGCCACACCCACCGCCTACAGCGCCTCTAGTCAAGCGTCTCATTATTTATCGCAACGTCTGATCCCACTTTGTCACAGGCACAACGCTCTGTTTATCTCCATTGACGTTTTATTGTTTCTCCTTGTTTTGTGTTGTAGGTGTGGCCAGGGCAGGATGTATTTCATAATCTTGTCACTGAAATATGCTTGGTGTGTCCCATCACACCCACCCCTCCCCCCTCCCCTTTTCCTCTTCTTCTCTGCCTCAGTTCCACTATATAAGAACTTAAATCTACACAGACCGGTACTTGGCGTATGTTTGTTCACAGATAGAAAACAGCAGATATACAACAGTATATATACACCATACCACAGTGTATAGGCAACGCACGACAGTAGACAAACAACATAAAACAGTAGACAGACAGCATACAAACAACAGTAGACAGACAACATACAACAGTAGACAGGCAAAAACACAACAGTAGACAGACAACTTACAACAGTAGATAGACAATATAAAACAGTAGATAGACAACACACATCAGTAGACAGACAACATGCAACAGTAGACAGTAAAACACAACAGTAGACAGACAACATACAACAGTAGATATACAACAGTAGATATACAACAGTAGATATACAACAGTAGACAGACAAAACACAACAGTAGATAGATAACATACAACAGTAGATAGACAACATACAACAACAGTAGACAGACAACATGCAACAGTAGATAGACAACACGCAACAGTAGATAGACAACATACAACAATAGATGGACAACATACAACAATAGACACCATACAGCAGTAGATAGACAACATACAACAGTAGATAGACACATACAGTAAGATAGACACATACAGTAAGATAGACAACACACAACAGTAAATAGACAATATACAACAATGGGTAGACATAATACAACAGTAGATAGACAACACACAACAGTAGATAGACACATGCATGTAGATAGACAACATACAAGTAGATAGACAACACACAATAGACACATACAACTAGACACACATATAACAGTAGACACCACACAACAGTAGATAGACACATACACACAACAGCTAGTGTTGGATTCATGTGTAAGGTCACTATGTTACAGCTTAGGGCCTCACTATCTGCTGGGGCCTAACAATTTTCTGGTCATATATTTACTGAAAGTAAGACATTTTCTCATTTTGTTTATATTTATTTGGAAATATTATCTCAGACATTTAAATATGTTGCTGACTTACTGTAGCCTGGTTAAAATAAACCAACTAATCAGCCTGAAATGCGCCAAGTTCTAGCTTGTATTCACATGTATACTTGACATTTCCATGAGATTAACTAGTATCATTTGAAACGTTAGCTTACTTATATATTAGGGCCTCATAAAGTATAAATTTGGTCCTGTCAGCAGAGATATACTACACACGTCGGTTAATATACATCAACAGCTATGCTACATACAAGGGCGTCACAATAAACAACATTCAACAAACATGAACAATTAGCTGTCCATGATAAACAGCAAGTAATCAGCTATTATACAATATATCCAGTTAGACATTACACAACAGATCCTGCACAACAAATAGACAGACAATCAGGTGCAAGTGGTGACAGGTTGGACCGGACAAGGCAACCAGCAGACGTCACAAGCTCACAAGTTTGGCGCAGTTGTCAGCGAGTACTAGTGGCTTGTTGACGTCAATCATGTGGGCTCTAGTTGTCGTCCTGTTGGTGTTTTGCATCGGTAAGTGTTGACTGTGTGGTCGCTTGGTCTGTCTCTATGGCACGAATGGTTTGTCTGTAACACCAGTGGTCTTTCTTTGGGGCATGAATGGTCTGTCTATGTGCCATGAATGGTCTGTGTATGTACCACGAATGGTCTCTGTGTGTGACACCTCTCATCTGCTTGGCATTCTGTTCTGTCAGTGTAACAGATACCAAATGTCCGGGTAACAATTTGGCCTGTTTGTAGAAAAACTTAGTCTTTCTATGAGGCGATGAAAGCAGGGCGATACCACGCCAGTTATTACAATCAGACAGATCAACGATTTAGGCAGTTAGAAAATGACACCAGCTTTCTACTGTTGGGGTGGACATTGGTTTTGCCAGATTTCGTTCATCAGCTGTAGCCAACGCTAAAGTTAAGTCTGTCAGACGGTTCCTGGTCCTCCTATTGCTCTATCCCCATTATATTTCTTCAGCGTGATTCTCGGTGGCAGTTGGTACCAGGGCCAAACCATCTTATCTGCTGTTGTTTAATAAACTTTATGACTAGTTTCGGTCCTATCCTAATAAATTTACAAATCCCAAATACTAAAATGTCTGTCTGCTCCTACAGCCCTCCCAAGACATCGTATCTTTGTTCTGATTCTAGACTCGTTGATTGTAGCAAGGGCTATGGTTGACACTGGGAGAACAAAACTGGTCAGAAAATGGTTATGATTTGCCTTAGCAGACATAGTTAACTTTCTGTATGTCAGAAGTTCTGTTAGTTATCGCAGCACTTGAGTTTATATGTGCCCGTTGTATGTTAGTTTATCTGTCCTTTCTTCCATCTAACATGATTATTGCTTCCAGACAATAATATTTCAAAAAAATCTCTGTCTGTCAGTCTATCTGTCTCTGTCTCTCTTTCTTCTCTCTCTCTCTCTCTCTCTCTCTCTCTCTCTTGTGTGCGTGTGCTTGTGTGTGTGCCTGTGTGTGTGTGCCTGTGTGTGTGTGTGCCTGTGTGTGTGCCTGTGTGTGTGTGCCTGTGTGTGTGTGCCTGTGTGTGTGCCTGTGTGTGTGCCTGTGTGTGTGTGCCTGTGTGTGTGTGCCTGTGTGTGTACCTGTGTGTGTGTGCCTGTGTGTGTGTGCCTGTGTGTGTGCCTGTGTGTGTGCATGTGTGTGTGTGTGTGCCTGTGTGTGTGTGTGCCTGTGTGTGTGCCTGTGTGTGTGTGTGCCTGTGTGTGTGCCTGTGTGTGTGCCTGTGTGTGTGCCTGTGTGTGTGTGCCTGTGTGTGTGCCTGTGTGTGTGTGCCTGTGTGTGTGCCTGTGTGTGTGTGTGCATGTGTGTGTGTGCCTGTGTGTGTGTGTGTGCCTGTGTGTGTGCCTGTGTGTGTGCCTGTGTGTGTTTGTGTGTGCCTGTGTGTGTGCCTGTGTGTGTGCCTGTGTGTGTGTGTGCCTGTGTGTGTGTGTGCCTGTGCCTGTGTGTGTGTGCCTGTGTGTGTGCCTGTGTGTGTACCTGTGTGTGTGTGCCTGAGTGTGTGTGCCTGTGTGTGTGTGTGTGTGTGTGTGTGTGTGTGTTGATAATTGATAGGGTTTCTAGTTGTCTACTGTCGTTATCTTCTATCTTTTCGATTGTTTCCATTAGAAACTCCTCAGACCTGGCTTCTATCTTTTCGATTGTTTCCATTAGAAACTTCTCAGACCTGGCTTCTATCTTTTCGATTGTTTCCATTTGAAACTCCTCAGACCTGGCTTCTATCTTTTCGATTGTTTCCATTCGAAACCCCTCAGACCTGGCTTCTATCTTTTCGATTGTTTCCATTTGAAACCCCTCAGACCTGGCTTCTATCTTTTCGATTGTTTCCATTAGAAACTTCTCAGACCTGGCTTCTATCTTTTCGATTGTTTCCATTTGAAACCCCTCAGGCCTGGCTTCTATCTTTTCGATTGTTTCCATTTGAAACTTCTCAGACCTGGCTTCTATATTTTCGATTGTTTCCATTTGAAACTTCTCAAACCTGGCACTGATTTGATGTCGATGGTTCTGGATTTAAACCATCTGGTATTTCTTGGTGTAGCCGCAGGTTACCTGAGCCATTCTAGTCCCATGACTCCAGCTACTTTGATACCTTCTCGGGCACTTGGGGATCAAGGCCCGTGGCTGATACCTTTTACGGCACTTGGGGATCAAGGTCCGTGGCTGATACCTTCTAGGGCACTTGGGGATCAAAGCCTATGGCTGATACCTTCTAGGACACTTGGGGATCAAAGCCCGTGGCTGATACCTTCTAGGGCACTTGGGGATCAAAGCCCGTGGCTGTTACCTTCTAGGGCACTTGGGGATCAAGGTCCGTGGCTAATACCTTCTAGGGTACTTGGTGATCAAGGTCCGTGGCTAATACCTTCTAGGGCACTTGGGGATCAAGGTCCGTGGTAGATACCTTCTAAGGCACTTGGGGATCAAGGTCCGTGGTAGATACCTTCTAAGGCACTTGGGGATCAAGGCCCGTGGCTGATACCTTCTAGGGCACTTGGGGATCAAGGTCCGTGGCTGATACCTTCTAGGGCACTTGGGGATCAAGGTCCGTGGCTGATACCTTCTAGGGCACTTGGGGATCAAGGTCCGTGGCTGATACCTTCTAGGGCACTTGGGGATCAAGGTCCGTGGCTAATACCTTCTAGGGTACTTGGTGATCAAGGTCTGTGGCTGATACCTTCTAGGGCACTTGGGGATCGAGGTCCGTGGTTGATACCTTCTAGGGCACTTGGGGATCAAGGTCCGTGGTTGATACCTTCTAGGGCACTTGGGGATCAAGGCCCGTGGTTGATACCTTCTAGGGCACTTGGGGATCAAGGTCCGTGGCTGATACCTTCTAGGGCACTTGGGGATCAAGGTCCGTGGCTGATACCTTCTAGGGCACTTGGGGATCAAGGTTCGTGGCTAATACCTTCTAGGGTACTTGGTGATCAAGGTCCGTGGCTGATACCTTCTAGGGCACTTGGGGATCAAGGTCCGTGGTTGATACCTTCTAGGGCACTTGGGGATCAAGGTCCGTGGTTGATACCTTCTAGGGCACTTGGGGATCAAGGCCCGTGGCTGATACCTTCTAGGGCACTTGGGGATCAAGGTCCTTGGCTGATATCTTCTAGGGCACTTGGGGATCAAGGTCCATGGTATACCTTCTAGGGCACTTGGGGATCAAGGTATGTGGCTGTTACCTTCTAGGGCACTTGAGGATCAAGGTATGTGGCTGTTACCTTCTAGTGCACTTGGGGATCAAGGCTTGTGGCTTTACGCTTCTATTTATCTCACTCATATGTCTGAATCTAGCCAGCCTGTTTCTTCTTGTATAACTTGTCACATTTTAACACAACTCATCATTGTTTAACACAACTCATCATTGTTCCACACAACTCTTCATTGTTCAACACAACTCATCATTGTTTAACACAACTCATCATTGTTCAACACAACTCATCATTGTTTAACACAACTCATCATTGTTTAACACAACTCTTCATTGTTTAACACAACTCATCATTGTTCAACACAACTCATCATTGTTTAACACAACTCATTGTCACATATCACTCCTGTCACATGCCTGATGTAAGGATTTCTCCTTCAGAACCAACAGCACTCAGAAATAATTATGTTGAGTCGTTTGGCTCGTATTGGTCTAAGGGATTCCCCGTGGCCAATATACGCTCAACTTATCTCTGGAGTAGAGCAACTCAAGTATTGGCACTACAAAATATATCAGTATATGAATACAATATTCCTAGGCACACTTGGCTGGACACCCCCACTACTTACTAAAGAAAGCCCCCAGGTTATGATAAGTCATTATCATAACCATGTTAACACATATAGTTAAGAATCATACACACACAAATGCTAAACACTTAAAAAGGTGAAATAGAGACACCTAAGTCAGCCATGAAAATGAATGCATGTAATCAATACAACAAATACATATATAAAATAGTGAAGTAGATGCCAGATCTCAATAGCTGGATTCCAGAATACAAAGTCCAGAGTATAAAGATACCCTAACAGCCAGAAGGTCCTTGAGATAACACATTGTCATCATTGGGAAACATGGGAGCTGTGAGGTATATAGCAAAACATGGCATCAAACTGTCACTTATCCTCTTTCTATCGGTGATGCTTCCCTCAGCTCCTGATGATTCGACTGTCTTTGGTGACTCTGCCTCAACTGGATCAGATGGTGGAGAAGTACCTCACCATAAAGGACACAGCAACTGGATAGGCACACCGCAATTGGATAGGCACACAGCACCTTCTCCCACGAGTAATTCGCAGCACTGTCCCTGAGCTACACACTGGCACTGGATGATGTTTGGGGTCTATGGCACCCCATCTCGAGGAGGACAGTCTTCTCAATTGGTAGTTGGGGGATAATAGGTAGGTAATGGGTTAATTGATTGATGGGTGGTTGGTGGGTGTTGGTTGGACTGTGATTCTTCTGCCCGCTCTTCACAAAGGTTTCATCCTGCCAAGAAATAACTCAGAATTAGTCATCACCAAGAGGGTAACATCTTGACAGGAAAGACAGAATAAGTATCAGTCACCATCCCACATCAGCCTACTCCACCTCTGCTCCCCTGTCTCATTCCTCAGAGTGCACTCTCAGGACTAGGAGACACTGTCTCCTATCATTCATCTGTCTGTTTAGTGCAAGAGATGGAAAGTCAGATATATGGTGGAGATAGATAGACACTCTAACACATACATCATCTCTCTCCCCCCTCCCGTCTGCACACAGACACCAATATTTACCGTCAGTACTTCTATTCCCTACGACTCACAAGCCAACCCAACACATTCATTGATCTGGGTCAAACACATTCCCACACTGGCCGACCAAGTCCTGACCTAAATTCTGTCCCCATTCGTATGGACAAATTTCTTTAGTTAGTTTAAATAGTACACACTTGTAAGGTTATTAGTTTTACCAGTATGTGTGGGTTATTCAGGGCATAGGCTATTTAGTCTGTACAGCGGCCGGTCTAAGTTCGAATCCGCTTCCCTAGCGATAAAGAACGGTCGAACTATGTGTGATCCCACAGCCGACACTGATCTCTCTACAGCAGTGACCACTTTAACAGACATTGTTTTTGGTACTCGTAAACTATAATTAACTTACCCAAGCATAGGAAAAGTCCCCGACATTACAGATCGCCTTCTGAAAGTGAAATTTTCTGGCGTCGATGCACACATCTGAACGCTTGGAAGCCGGCAAAAAAATGGCGCAAAATTCGCACTTCAGGCGTTGGTAAAAAGGAGTTCCTTGTATACAGGGGCAAGGAGTAAATCGGTTTCTAAGAAACCTCAAATAACTCTAGTAATATTTATCCAATAGTTGCACATTTGAAATTGAAGTTAAGTCAAAGCAACTAGAAGATGTAGACATTATAATTTTGTCCGATAAAGGCATATATCGATATAAGGGACTATATACCTTCCCGGACGAGTCCAAGTTTGAATGTTGTCTCGAATACAGGTAAGTCAAGTTACCAGTCTTTAGGACTGATGTGTAATGGCTTATCATTCCACGACACTCATCATTGTTCAACACAACTCATCATTGTTCAACACAACTCATCATTGTTCAACACAACTCATCGTTGACGATAGACACGGTCACTGTTTACAGCCGTGGCAATTTCTCTGCTTCTGACAGACGGTGGTCGTTGCATTTTCCTCCGTTTGTAGATTAACACTATATAGTTTTGGGAGTCGCCGTGGCAGGGCGGCTAGACGCTCGCCGCGGATCGGAAGGTCGTGGGTTTGATCCTTCACGGGACCAGACTTTTTTACCGGGTGCAGTCCCATGAGGTAGAGGCGTGATCCTCACCACATCATTCATCTTGTACCGATTGGTCTTCAAAACATAGGTCTAGCCCTATGTGCCATGTACGCCTAATGGCGCGGAAAAGGGTCCTTTACTGACTTTGACTATATAGTTTTGTCGCCCAGCTATTGAGCTGATTACATGGTAGGACACGGCGAGCTGCGGATTTCCATTGGGATGTTTTTTCTACTGTGACCAGCATGGTGTTGTGAGTTGTCAACTGTACAATGCGCGTGCGTGTTGCCACAGAGTTGGACGTGCCTTATCTGATTACATTTGTTTTGTAACTTCTGTTTCAGTCGACAATGAACTTCATTCCCAATGTCGACTGTTTATATGTGTGTTTATATATATGTGTGTGTGTGTATATATATATAAACCTGCACATCTAAATATATAAAATGCCCGGCTCGTTAACGTAGTTGGCTAAACCTGACTTCGCGACGGCTGAGTGTTGAACTCCATGTGGTCCGGGTTCACGTCCGCGGGTAGTCAGAGGAGCCAGATTTCTCCCAGATTTACGGTGTTTATCATGGAATCAAGGCCGAAAGGTTGCGATATCCATACTACCGAGCCAAAGGTTAAGAACTCATGGTTTCTGGATACTTAAAAAAAAATCTTAATATATATTCGTTAGTTGGGTTATCATCGTTGCACTCCGGACATGTCTATAGGTGCTCAGATCCTCCCCTCAGTCTGAACCCCCACTTCCGATGGCTAATAGTACCAGTTCTATGTTGATTAACAAGTCTTCTGACGTGTCTGGTGTGCGTCTCGTTTTTTGCTGTGCCGATCTCAATTCCCAAATCTGCCATTCTGGCGAGTGATGTGGATTCACTGCCACCAAAGTCCTCTATCCTTCCCACTTCTCTGAGGGCATTGATAGTATCAGCATGATCCATAGGCTGACCGTCGGTGGTGATAGCGGATCCAGCCAACCTGTCAGCTCTTTCATTTCCATCGACGCCTGCGTATCCCGGAACAAAAATAAAGGTGACTCTACGCACAGTGGACTTCTGTAATGATTCAAGCCATTGTCTTCGCACTGAACCTGCCTGAACCCTCCGGATCATACTCATTGAATCACTGAGTATACATACGCGGGTGTATTTTTGTGTTTCAAGCCAGGCAAACGCTTGGGTCACTGCCATCACCTCCATCGTCATGCTGCTGGTTGTCATGGAGAAGGCTTCTTTGACTGTTCTGTCCGCTGAGCGTGCTGTGAATGCCTATGCGCTTCTTTTTTTGGCGTATAACGGATCCGTCTGTGTAGATTAGTGCACCTGCTTTGTCTGAATTTTCACTGATGAGAGCGTTGACCTCTGCATTAACAGCAATATAGTATCTAAACTACATTCCCGTTGACCAGTCTATATTCCTATATTCTCACACCCACGTCTGTTCACATTTATTTACTATCAATACACGGTGTAATTCTGCCTGATGGTACAAGCTACCTTTCGGTCACTTACCTAACTGTGTTCATAAATACCTTTGGGTCTCTGTGCCCGTCTCTTGTCTAACGTCACCGTGTCATCTCACTGACTCCCCAGGTGCCGGCCACAGTTCTCGGGTAATCACCAGTGCCAGGGACCGGTACCAGCGACCGCACGGACTCGACCAACTCCACTACATGCTGGCTTCTCAAGCAGACTATCAGCAACGTTAGTGGTGTCCTGTTGTTGGTGTTTCCCTAGTCTTGTTGCTGTTGTTGGCAATGTTGTTTACGGTGTTGTTTGTGTTGCTGTCGTTGCTGTTGTTGCTGTCGGTGTTGTTGGTGTTGTTGTTGTTGTTCTTGGTGGTGACGGTGTTGTTGTTTTTTGCTGTTGTTGTTGGTATAGTTTCAGAGGTTCTCAAACTGGGTGCCAGGGGTGCCGCGGCAGTAATCAAGACAAGTCGGCTAATCATTATGAAATTAATAAAAAAGGCAGGCAGAAACTTAAGAGTTAACATTTATCTTCTCTCGCCACTGGCGAAAAGAGTTTATAGTTTGTTTCACACTCAGACGTTTTTCGTACGGCATAAAATGCCAGCCGCAACTTGCCAAGATTGTCCTTGTATTTATCTGAAGGTGCGACCGATCCTCTACCTGCATTCGTTAGGGTACAGTCGAAAAGTCAAGTCTTGGTTACACTGTCTCAGCAGACAGCTGCCAGCCTAAGCCATCCAAGCTGGCCTGCCCCAGTTCGCGGAAAGACAACTCACGACCAACAAGAAAATCCGAGGAAAACATAAGACAATATAATCCTAGCTACCTCACGTTTTTTGGCTCTTTTTTCTGTTGGGAACGAACAGGCCCCGGAAGGTCAAAAATAAAGATTCATCTGGAATGCAATCATTCTGATTGAGTACACATAGGTTCAGAAATCTTCAAGCGCCGCGCTTCATCTCTTCAGGCAAGGTCATCCATGATGAGAGAATTTCTAAACATAAAAAAAAGATGAATTGCAAAATCATTCTAAACGGTTTCATTTATCGCATTAAAGACAATTGAACATTAAATGTGCACTTTTTTAAATTTCTTTTTTCTAAGAATTTAACCGCTTTAACGTGTAGGTGTGCCGCGATTTTTTTAAAAAGCCCGACAAGAGTGCCGCGGCTGTAAAAGTTTGAGAACCCCTGGTGTAGGTGGTCTGGTTGTGGTGTGGTTGCTTATCTGTCATTGACAACACGCTGGTGTCAGTTCTGTGCTCTATATCTTGTTTGGTTGACACTGACAACACGCTGGTGTCAGTTCTGTGCTCTATATCTTGTTTGGTTGACACTGACAACACGCTGGTGTCAGTTCTGTGCTCTATATCTTGTTTGGTTGACACTGACAACACGCTGGTGTCAGTTCTGTGCTCTATATCTTGTTTGGTTGACACTGACAACACGCTGGTGTCAGTTCTGTGCTCTATATCTTGTTTGGTTGACACTGACAACACGCTGGTGTCAGTTCTGTGCTCTATATCTTTTGTTTGGTTGACACTGACAACACGCTGGTGTCAGTTCTGTGCTCTATATCTTGTTTGGTTGACACTGACAACACGCTGGTGTCAGTTCTGTGCTCTATATCTTGTTTGGTTGACACTGACAACACGCTGGTGTCAGTTCTGTGCTCTATATCTTGTTTGGTTGACACTGACAACACGCTGGTGTCAGTTTCTGTGCTCTATATCTTGTTTGGTTGACACTGACAACACGCTGGTGTCAGTTCTGTGCTCTATATCTTGTTTGGTTGACACTGACAACACGCTGGTGTCAGTTCTGTGCTCTATATCTTGTTTGGTTGACACTGACAACACGCTGGTGTCAGTTCTGTGCTCTATATCTTGTTTGGTTGACACTGACAAACACGCTGGTGTCAGTTCTGTGCTCTATATCTTGTTTGGTTGACACTGACAACACGCTGGTGTCAGTTCTGTGCTCTATATCTTGTTTGGTTGACACTGACAACACGCTGGTGTCAGTTCTGTGCTCTATATCTTGTTTGGTTGACACTGACAACACGCTGGTGTCAGTTCTGTGCTCTATATCTTGTTTGGTTGACACTGACAACACGCTGGTGTCAGTTCTGTGCTCTATATCTTGTTTGGTTGACACTGACAACACGCTGGTGTCAGTTCTGTGCTCTATATCTTGTTTGGTTGACACTGACAACACGCTGGTGTCAGTTCTGTGCTCTATATCTTGTTTGGTTGACACTGACAACACGCTGGTGTCAGTTCTGTGCTCTATATCTTGTTTGGTTGACACTGACAACACGCTGGTGTCAGTTCTGTGCTCTATATCTTGTTTGGTTGACACTGACAACACGCTGGTGTCAGTTCTGTGCTCTATATCTTGTTTGGTTGACACTGACAACACGCTGGTGTCAGTTCTGTGCTCTATATCTTGTTTGGTTGACACTGACAACACGCTGGTGTGTCAGTTCTGTGCTCTATATCTTGTTTGGTTGACACTGACAACACGCTGGTGTCAGTTCTGTGCTCTATATCTTGTTTGGTTGACACTGACAACACGCTGGTGTCAGTTTCTGTGCTCTATATCTTGTTTGGTTGACACTGACAACACGCTGGTGTCAGTTCTGTGCTCTATATCTTGTTTGGTTGACACTGACAACACGCTGGTGTCAGTTCTGTGCTCTATATCTTGTTTGGTTGACACTGACAACACGCTGGTGTCAGTTCTGTGCTCTATATCTTGTTTGGTTGACACTGACAACACGCTGGTGTCAGTTCTGTGCTCTATATCTTGTTTGGTTGACACTGACAACACGCTGGTGTCAGTTCTGTGCTCTATATCTTGTTTGGTTGACACTGACAACAACACGCTGGTGTCAGTTCTGTGCTCTATATCTTGTTTGGTTGACACTGACAACACGCTGGTGTCAGTTCTGTGCTCTATATCTTGTTTGGTTGACACTGACAACACGCTGGTGTCAGTTCTGTGCTCTATATCTTGTTTGGTTGACACTGACAACACGCTGGTGTCAGTTCTGTGCTCTATATCTTGTTTGGTTGACACTGACAACACGCTGGTGTCAGTTCTGTGCTCTATATCTTGTTTGGTTGACACTGACAACACGCTGGTGTCAGTTCTGTGCTCTATATCTTGTTTGGTTGACACTGACAACACGCTGGTGTCAGTTCTGTGCTCTATATCTTGTTTGGTTGACACTGACAACACCGCAAGCTGCATGTCTCTCTCTCTCTCTCTTGAAAATGTCAAAGTTTCTGATGGTAACTCCACAAACTATTTGTCAGCCGAGGCAGTTGGTTCAGAATCCATCCTTAGATAAGGCAGGATATATTTTCCACCAGCACAGTTCTCTGGTGGACCCTGCCTTGAAAACATGGCTGCCAAACAAGTTCCAAAATGTTCTGGGAATTTAATGCATCAAAAAATGCTGTTCACAATGCTATAAAATGCTGTATCATCTGTGTCAGACAGTTGTCCCTCATGGTATGTTGTATCATCTGTGTCAGACAGTTGTCCCTCATGTCATGCAGTATCATTTGTATAAGACGTCCATCATGGCATTACTGTATCATTTGTGTCAGACAGTTGTCCATCATAGTATGTTGTATCAATCGTGTCAGACAGTTGTCCCTCGTGGTATGTTGTATCATTTGTGTCAGACAGTTGTCCCTCATGGTATGTTGTATCATCTGTGTCAGACAGTTGTCCTTCATGGCATGTTGTATCATTTGTGTCAGACAGTTGTCCCTCATGGCATGTTGTATCATTTGTGTCAGACAGTTGTCCCTCATGGCATGTTGTATCATTTGTGTCAGACAGTTGTCCCTCGTGGTATGTTGTATCATTTGTGTCAGACAGTTGTCCCTCGTGGTATGTTGTATCATTTGTGTCAGACAGTTGTCCCTCATGGTATGTTGTATCATCTGTGTCTGACAGTTATCCCTCGTGGTATGTTGTATTATTTGTGTCAGACAGTTGTCCCTCGTGGTATGTTGTATCATTTGTGTCAGACAGTTGTCCCTCATGGTATGCTGTATCATTTGTGTCAGACAGTTGTCCCTCGTGGTATGTTGTATCGTTTGTGTCTGACAGTTGTCCCTCGTGGTATGTTGTATCATTTGTGTCAGACAGTTGTCCCTCATGGCATGCTGTATCATTTGTGTCAGACAGTTGTCCCTCGTGGCATGTTGTATCATTTGTGTCAGACAGTTGTCCCTCATGGCATGTTGTATCATCTGTGTCAGACAGTTGTCCCTCATGGTATGTTTATCATCTGTGTCTGACAGTTGTCCCTCATGGTATGTTGTATCATTTGTGTCAGACAGTTGTCCCTCATGGTATGTTGTATCATCTGTGTCTGACAGTTGTCCCTCGTGGTATGTTGTATCATTTGAGTCTGACAGTTGTTCCTCGTGGTATGTTGTATCATTTGTGTCAGACAGTTGTCTCTCATGGTATGTTGTATCATTTGTGTCAGACAGTTGTCCCTCATGGCATGGTGTATCATTTGTGTCAGACAGTTGTCCCTCGTGGTATGTTGTATCATTTGTGTCAGACAGTTGTCTCTCATGGCATGCTGTATCATCTGTGTCAGACAGTTGTCCCTCATGGCATGTTGTATCATCTGTGTCAGACAGTTGTCCCTCATGTCATGCAGTATCATTTGTGTAAGACGTCCATCATGGCATTACTGTATCATCTGTGTCAGACAGTTGTCTCTCATGGCATGCTGTATCATCTGTGTCAGACAGTTGTCTCTCATGGCATTCTGTATCATCAGTGTCAGACAGTTGTCTCTCATGGCATGTTGTATCATCTGTGTCAGACAGTTGTCTCTCATGGCATGTTGTATCATCTGTGTCAGACAGTTGTGTCATGGACATTGTTGTATCATCATGGCATGTCTGTCATCATCTGTATGTGTCAGACAGTTGTCTCTCATGGCATGTTGTATCATCTGTGTCAGACAGTTGTCTCTCATGGCATGTTGTATCATCTGTGTCAGACAGTTGTCCCTCATGGCATGCTGTATCATCTGTGTCTGCCAGTTGTCCCTCATGGTATGCTGTATCATCTGTGTCAGACAGTTGTCTCTCATGGCATGCTGTATCATCTGTGTCAGACAGTTGTCTCTCATGGCATGTTGTATCATCTGTGTCAGACAGTTGTCCCTCATGGCATGCTGTATCATCTGTGTCTG